TTTTGGAAGAAAAAGCATGAAGCACGGTTATTTTATATTCCTGTTCATCAGCTTTCAGGTCAGAGCCACAGCTCACCTGAAATTCACCTCACTCCTGTGAAGTTCACTCAACTCCAGCCTCTCTGCAGAGGTTAGAGTTCCCGTTGTCTCTCAGGCCACAACTTCCCCCAAACAGTACATTTTTCCTGGTTTCTTAGTTTTTCTTGTGCAAATTGCAGCGAAACGGAGCAGAACAAAGAGTTGTTGACAAATTGTTGACATTGTCTTGTTATAGGAACGTTTCCATGGGATTTTGAGGTTGATTTAGGGAAATATTTAGCTTTAGCTCCAGTTTGTTTGTTAATCCTTTTGCTCATAGTTGTACAACCTCTGCTGTGGATGGTGCGCTGTATACATATTTTGGTATAAATAGTCAGTGTTCTTTTCTTCCAGCAGTGAATATTCACCAACAGCATCAGTCAACATTTTGATAATAATAACAATTAAGGGAAAATAAGGTTCTAAATAAATATAACCACTAAATAATAATAATAAAGATGAGATAAAAATATGAATTTAAATAAAATAGCATAAGAAAATTGACAACATAACCCACAGAATGATAATAAATGAATTCAAACATATTATAATAATAACAAGATGTTAAAATAGTATTTGAATGCATAGTTCAAGTAAAGTAGATCATTTAAACAGAAATGGAGAAGCCTGTATCAGGACATTCTGCTAGTTAATGGTGATAAGTGAACATATGTAGGTGAAATGTTTCATTTGAAAGTAAAGTGGGCTGGTTTCCCTGATATTAGTGTGTTCACTTGCTTTTTCTTTCAGCCGCTGCTGATCCTCCCATAAACCAGCAGCAGATAATTGCAAGCGATTTAGAACAGTTTCAGGATTTTTTCACCTGACCTTTGTAAACCCTTCGATTGGGAAATAAAACCTAATTTCTCACCACCTCTGTTTTATATTGTCCAATTAATTTGCTGTATATTTTCCTGAACCCCTTTCTTCCTGACTGCTCCGAACACATCAGAAAGTCAACTTATAATTCTCCTTTTTGTTTCTCACAGTGTGTCCAATGAAGTGTTTTTAAATGCCTGTTGAAACAAGTGCAGGCAGACTTATTAGATTATATAGAAGTGGAACTCATTTGCACCCCATAATCAAATAGATTGCTGTTACCACTGTTAAAAAAAAGAAATGGCTTAGCTGTGCAACTTTTACTCACTTATTCATAGAAAAATTACTCTTAATATAAAACCGATCTAGTTATTTTCTCCCCTCAAACTCCCGCATCAAAAAGGCAGTGTTGGGATAAATGTGTGTGTACGTGAGAGAGTGAGACAGAGAGCCAGGCTATCGGTAAATCAGTATTCATAGACTATCGCCAGATCTGCCAGCCCCGTCTCACAGCAGGGGTTTCAGCTCTATGAAGATAAAGTGATTTTTTCAGGAGTGAGTGACCCTAAATCTGACCTGAAAAACACATACACACCCTCACGGTGCACGCACGTACACACACCGTCTTAACCAGCAATTAAGCAGGCACTGCTGGAGTGAGAACTCCACTTCAGTTTCGTTCCCGCACTCTCAACGCTCTGCGATGCATTTCACACGTCAGGGTTTTTCTTTTTTCCCTCATCTGACTGCAAACTGTGAATGGTTATTGTTTGACCACCTATGGCAAACGGACAAATTTTCAAATTTCAAATACTAAAATTAACACCTTCGCCGGGGCTGCTGCTCCATGACCTCAGATCGAGCCAGGGAAAATTTCCCATCCCGACGCAGCTGTTACTGTAATTTTAGGATTAATTTCAGGATGTTTAATGCAGCACAATGTAAGAATAATGATCCTTACTGGCCCATTTGTAAAGGACAAGTCATTTTGGGCCTAATGTCCAATAACTGTAAAAGCACAGAGAGATAGAGTGAAACAGAGAGGAGAGAGAGCGGGATGGTGGCAGACTATCAGCCCCTGAGCAGTGACCCTGCTCCTCTCCTCCTCCTGTCCTTTCATCATCTTCTCCCCGCTCCCCCCCTCTATCACAGCCTTCATCTCTCGGGCAAATTGAATTCCTCCCCAGCATCTGCCTAAGCAGCTCCATAAGATGGGCCTGAGAGCAGAGGCAGGCACATGTCACAGCAGGGGTGAAGAAAAAAAAAAAGTGTCGCACATGTAAGTACGTCTGCTCTCTCCTTTCACACTCAGAGGCCAAACTCTCTGTTAGGCAGCGAGACTTTGAGCTGCCACACACTTTGACAGAGATGGACCGAGGGGCAACAAGAGAAGAAGAACAAAGAGCGAGGGGGGGAGTTCTTGATAGACAGACAGGTGGCTGGGTAGACAAGCAGATGAGAGGGAAAGACGGGTGAGGACAAGGGAAGACTGTGGGGAAGAGAGAGTGACGTGTTGACACTGATTGACGGAGAGACAGACGGTGAGGAAGGAAGAGAGACCGATGACATCAATGAGTGAAACATGCTGTTAGCTGACCTTGTTCCTCTCGGATGTGGTGTTCTCCGTCTCTGTCTGTATGGTTCCTAATGGACTCTCTCTAAAATGGAAAGAAGGGATTAGAGGGAATTGAGTGGGGGGGGGGGGCAGAACATTTGGCTTTGCACTGAAGGAAGGAAGTGGTAGACGAGTGGTAGAGGCACAAAATGTCCATATCTTTCTATGTGTACAGTACACATGCACCATATAGACATTTCTAATTGAGGGTCATATCTGGTAAGCTCTGCTCGCTCGCTCGCTCGCTCTCCTTCCCCCTCTCTCTCTCTCCTTCTCACGCCGAGGCAGGCGGAGGTGAGTTATCGTGCTGGTCAGCAGTATGACATTGGAGTCTGCATTGCCAGCCATCGTCTGTAGAAGCGGAATATTCCAAATAAATCCTTATACTTGCATGCACACTCACATGCACACGCACACACCATCTCCTTCTCTCTCACACACGCACACTCACAGTCTTGAGTGTAAATCTATCATGGATGGAACACTTCCCTCTTGTGCAAGGAGCAGGCAGCTATCAATCTAGAAGGGAGAGGAGGGGGAAGAGGGTGAGACAGTGGAGAAAGACAAGGGGAGAAGAAAAGGTGGCCCTGACACATCCACAGGGACTGAGGAATAAGGAAGGGAAACCGAGACAATGGAGACAAAATGAGAGGTGCAGAGGAGAGACGGAACCGCGAAAGCTGAAACGACAGGGTGGGGAGAAGATTGAGTTGACAGGAGAAGGAGAGCGAGAAAGAGGGAATGTAAAAGTTTGTAAAAGAGTTATGGACCTGTCCGTACAAACTGTCACAAGCAGATAAGCTTCGTCCCCTATAACCCAGAGTGTGTGTGTGTGTGTGTGTGTGTGTGTGTAAATGGTTGATGGGCAGAAGAAATCTGTAACTTCCCTCACCTTCACCTTTCGTCTCAGACCCTGGTGCCGGGTTTTGTTTGTCATTTGGATCCCGGCCCCGGTGCATGTTGACTGTCCTGCAGCTCGCGGCTGTGGACAGACATTTTGAGCTTGATGTCTCTACCTTGTGTTGTGGCGAGCCAGGTCTGAGCGCCGGAGCCAAGAGTTAAAGACTGAATGCTGTTGTGTTGAAAGCAGCTGCAGCTGAGCCCCCGCAGCAAATGTACATTGTAAAATACGGCAAGCGATTTCAACAGGGTTATCATAAGGTTTAACACTCTGAGTCACTAAATAATACAATACTGTGCAGTTTCAGCCGAGCCTTAAGAAATAAAACTTGATGTCTTTATAGAGAAAAACAAGATGCAGAAAAATTGCAGATAACTGGTTGTTTGTTATTTCACTGATCAGTTCAACATCACATCGGAGCTGGAGAAAATCCAAACACGTGCATTGACAGAGACTGTGGACGACTGTTGACTTTTTGTCGTCATGCGAAGCCTTAAAGCGCCCAAATGGCATTTGATGCAGCAGCGTGCGTGTGCGGCCAAGTAGTTACTGCGGCGGTCCGGGGATTTGATAGAATTACTGTTTTTCTGGACTGCTGTTGCAGATCAACCCTGACGGATTTGTCAGAGCAGTGATGCACATCGCCTTGCAAATGCTTCTGGTGTGTGGTCTTACATGGAAAACAAAAGGCATGTTTTGACACGCATCATACACGCAAGACGTGTGTTGCTCCTCGGGTTCAATTGGAAAGTCAAAAATCAATATTATTCATCGCATTGTTTACCATCAAACATGGTTTTATGAATATCTCCTTTCATTTAAAGGAGACATATTGTAATGTCTCAGCTTTGCTTTCCTCTGCTGTGTTGTAAGTGATTTCTTTACGTTACAGCATGCAAACCTTTTCAAGTGATAACACAAATTAAAGTGATGAACCTGAACATGAGCAGAATATGTCTCCTTCAGTATCAAATCAATGGAACTTCAGTCATGGGGTGGGCATCTCCACAAAGAGATAATCCCAACAGATGTGTCTCAGATTTTGCTTCACACCGTCGCACTCACTACTTGAAACTGCTGAAGGTGTCTAAAGAGTGAGATAAAGTTGAGAGGGTCAGGCTGCAGGAATTCCAGTGCACATATGCTACCTGTACCTTTTGCAAAATGGTAAAAGAAAAATCTTGACTCTGAATGTGAGGAGCAGGAGAAAGTACACACGAGGAAACACATTTCATTCGGTAACTTTTCTCTTTAAAGTTGCTTTGATACCAGATGTCTTTTCAAATTCTGAAATGAGTTTTCATATCTGCTTTGACTTTCGCTAAATGGCACCTGCCAACAATATTACAGAATTTTCTGATTCCAGCTCAAAACTATACATAAAAAAAAAAAAAATCAAGATAAGCGATGTGAATGTTTTTCCAACTTTCTCTTTGTGTGAAGAGCAGAACATGAATAGAACCTTTTTTCCTCCTTTTTGTTGTGGATGAATGCAGCTGAAATTTGCCGCAAGAAAAAGGGGAAGGCAGCTTTTTCAAATAGCAAGAATAACATACTTTCCTTTCTCTGTCTCTGTTTGTCTGTCAGAGATGGCCCCCTACCTGCGAGGGGGTGGACCAGGGCAGCAGGTGGTGTTGGAGGGAAACAGGCTGGTGCTGACCTGCCTGGCTGGAGGCAGCTGGCCTCTGCAGTACCGCTGGACTCTCAACAACAGCAACTTCACCGACTGGACACAGCAGTTCAGGTCAGTTAGCAGCGACTGGCATTGTGTGACTTTCTGTCCTGTATCCTTTTCTTATCTCTAAAGTGTTGTGTCTGCCTATTGGTCCTGTCCTCCTTTTTTCCGAGAGTCGTCGATGTGTGATTCACTCTATGGACGTAGACTCCGTGTCCTGAAAAGTGAAGCCATTGTGGAAAGTGCCTGAAACCTCCATAGTCTTAATTCTCAATTCCTAGTTTCAAAACAGCCTGATGTTCCTTTTGTAAATGCTAACATGACAATGTTTGACGTCACGGTGGGTCTCCACTCATCATGAGTTTGGATGCAAACAGGCTTGACTCTAAAACTTTCTGCAAGGAAGTTACAACAAACCAACACATGCAAACAAGTTATCTTCTGAAAAAATGCAACTCATCCTCTGGAGCCGCTCCAGGGTTTTGTCCGTAGCATTGGGATAAACAGCTGCTGCATAAAAGCTGCGCCTGTTAGTGATGGACTGTGCTCGGAGAAGGTCAGAACGTTTAGGCTGTGGAACAAAAGTGAGATTAATAATTGCATTAGCATTATAAATATGTATATGGTCTGGGGAAAGAAGAGGAGAAGCAATCAATATGTGAGCTTCTTTCTCTCCGTGCCTCTCTGCCTCTCTTCCTGTGCCACTCTCCTTCTGTCCCTTTGTGTGTTGCTGTGGTAAGAGCGAAGCAATCCCTCTCGGCAAAACTGCAGCTGTGAAACAAAATTGTTTTTCACATCATTCAGAAATACAGAGAATCATGGGAATACATGCACAGTGAGGGAATGAGAGGTTGAGCCAGCATTTTGTAGGCAGTCGTCGTTTGAGCCAGGAGACGTTGTGTTGCTCTGGATTGCTCTCAGCGTTCTGGCTACTTCAGTTTGGTGGGGCCAGGGCTATGCTGAATTGGCAGGGAGCTGTGAGTTTGAGAGTGTGTGTGTGTGTGTGTGTGTGTGTGTGTGTGTGAGACCATCTGGTATTTCAAGCCTGATTTTTCTAATATGCCCATACATCATTCATATTGTTGAATATTTTACTGTTAATTGATTAAAAGCAGAGCAAAGTAAGTAGAGTGGTGTCCTCAGCCTACAGCTTCTACTGTCCACGTCCTTGAGCAAGACACTGAACCCACATTGTTCCTAATTCTTCGGTGCTTTCCAGAGCGGCTCATTGCCACCGGAGCGTGGGTGTGTGTGTTTTTGTGAATGGGTACACACAGTTTAAATCCAGTCCATTACTTTGATCCATATTTTGTCCCTTTCCAAAACTTCTCTACAGCGTGATTTATTTGTGTTCATCTCTTGTGTTGTTTCGTGTACGGGATGGTAAAGAATCCAGATGAGCTGTGCTGTAATTGCAAAACGATTTAACAGTCAGTTGATTGACGGAAAATGAATCTGCAATTACTTATATAATACTAATCATTTCTTAGTGGTTTTTTAACGCAAACATGACAAATGTTTGGTCTCAACTCTTGAGGATTTGATCGATGGCTTTCTTGCACAGAATACTACACTGAATTTCAATCAGGACCACGTGTCCCGACTGAAATCCAGTCAACACAAGTGGTGTGTTCTGGGACCTTCCTGCCCTTCTGTCAGTCGCCACGGAAAGTATGAGAAGGAGGTGCAGGGGTGGGTCGTGGAGTAGCTTTGCTGTGTAAGCAGGTAGAGGAGGCAGCTGAACAGCTTGAATAAAGCGTGCCATAGAAACTTTGCCAATCGGAAGCATAGGAGGGGATGAGCTGAGTCACCGGCTGAACTGCTGCTGTCGCACTGGAATGTGGCTGAGCTTGACTTTGTGACCTATCTGAACTTATGATCATCTTATGATCACCCAAAAATGTAAAAAATAATAATTTAAATAATAGTTTGTTGCAGCCTTACTGACTCACATCAGTGGAAAGTTACGCATCAGTTCAGCTACTGTCCCTTTTCTCACTTAAGGATTAGAATTAAAATTCGTCACGAAAAAAGTTTGACTAAAATAAATGAGTTGTTAATATTTGCATTGTCTCCAAGAACAGGAATAAGTAGGCTACCGCACTTATCTTTAAAACTGTAGAACATTTATAGCTGACAAATACACTTATTTTACACAAAGAACACTTTCTCTAGCTAATCCCTCTGTTAATTAAATACTACCTCATTGAGCTCGTAGAAATAAATTAAACTACTCTACCTCCTTCCTCGTTCAATGCAAGCACAACACACAGCGAAGAAAATAAAGGAAACAAACAACGACTCGTGGGACACTCGAATCACATATCCACAACTTTTCCTCCTATTATATTTTAACTAGAATGTTCAATGTGATGTGATGTGATGAATACAGATTGATGGATAACGGAGGAGTTTGGTCAATTTGTGTTGAGTCTGTCTTCCTGTAAAAACCTGACTGAACTTGTTCTCGTCCTGAATCCCACAGGGAATCTTTTACTTCCCTTTCAGACTAATTTACTGGGAATGTATTGTATTGATTCACGGCTGTCAGCACTGCACTTTGTGTTCGGTGAGATAAATAAAGAAAAAAAACAAACAACTTGTGAGAATTAAAAAAAAAAAAATACAAATACAGTGATAGCCCCGGTGCACACACCTATTAAAAAGGAATGGAAGATGGACAGAGAGAGAGAGAGAGAGAGAGAGAGAGAGATGCAGCGTTAGGCGTTGTCCAATATCAAAATCTGTTTCAGGATGAGAGGTGCTCTGTAATGTGTCACTCCTGATGCAAATGGAATTACGTGCGTGTGCCTTTTGATGTTCGTGTGTGTGTATTAGTGTGTGTGTATTAGTGTGTGTGTATTAGTGTGTGGGTTTGTGTATGTTGGCAGCGGACGCCGACAGCCTGGGAGTTAAATACTTGGCTGTCCTGGTATTCATAATGAGCCCCAAAGCGATGTCCAGTTGTACTGTGTCTATGCCGTTTGTGTGTAGCATGTATCCGTGTGTACATGCGTATGCATTTGTGTGTTTGCCCAGCATGGCACCAACCTAGATCCTATGCCAAGCCTCCCATTAGTGAAGCACAGTCCATTAAAGCCCCATTAACAAGCCCTTTTAGAACCAAAAACAACACGCACACAGTCAAAAACCTTTTATACAACACACACAAACACAAATACACTAACACACATGCCTTCCCTTCTGTTATTGGAGAACTTTGACAATCTCAGGTCCAGTCCATTCTTAGATCAAGGTCATGGAAGGAAAGTACACAAGAGTGGTTACATATGGACCAACAGACCTTCACCTTCCTCCCCCTCCGTGCTGCTGGTCTCAAAACATCACTCCCAACTTCTCCTCCCCCGTCTTTATTTACAGCTCCGAGATAAAACAAAACCCTAATGAATGTCCTCTCTGCGTGCCCGTCCATCCACAGGCTGTCCGTCTCGTCTCTGAAGAGGACCGACGCCGGCCTGTATCAGTGCACAGTGAGGAACAGGATGGGAGCGGTAATCCACAGGAGAACAGAGGTGCAGGTGGCCTGTGAGTACACACCAATACACACAGATTGTACACGCCATTATAACAACACCCGATACAGGTTTGTTTTTGTGATGTTGTTTGAGGAAGATTTTAACCAGGAAATCACCAAAGAGGAAAATAAACAAGATAATTACTGATGTCAAATTCAATTTGGCAGTTTTCTATCGTCATTGTCGAAAGAAAACTGGTGGAAAAAGATTAGTATATCTGAAAATCACAGAAGTTCTTTCCTTCCTTCATATCTGTTGTACTTGACATGGATCTTACGTTTCATTTATTATGGTGTTAAAAGGTTTCACTTGTTGAAACCTGCAGAAGTCCTCACACCAAATCCTCTCTGGCCTCTGAACCATTAGCTTCTGTAACTCCATGCAATCTTTAATTTGGTTATTCCTTTCATCTCTTCTCCTAAAAAAAAAAAAGTTAAGCATGTTCCCGGGGTTAACTTTTTATAATTTAAGATGGAACAGCATCCACTGTGCTCGCTATTAAAGATTCAGTTCAACATAAATTAAACTACAGCTCCCAATGAAACCAGTGTGGCAGCGTGGGTACTTACATCATAGTAACTTTTGTTCATGCCTTTATAATTCATAAATTTCCCCAGTTATCTCAGCAGCAATGTCTGCGCCTAAAATCCCCCACAGCGTTCAGTCCTCTGCGTCCTGCTGTTATTACAGACATGTCTGAACCACACTGAACCCTCGACTTACCCCCGGACTCACCTCGTTTGATAAGCTGTGACATTTTGCCTGCAAAGGTCCGGGGCTGATGAGAAAATGTGTTTAATAAAGGCTGCCAAAATTAAGCTATATTAAATTCACAAAGAAATTAGATTGTGTGTCAAAAACCTCAGTTTAATCCGACAATATGAAGCAAGTCACAAAACCTACGACTCTGTTTCAGAGCGATGGACCCGGGGAATGGTTTGCAAACAGGCAGGAGGAGTCATGAGCGAATTGTTTGAGCTCATTGTACCGTTAGCAGCTAAGTCTTCACCCCGCTTTAAGATAACTCGGATTTGAATGAAGTGCTGAGAAGAAAATACCAGGTGACAGTGAAGCGTGGAGTAAAGAGAAAATAGAAAGAACCTCTGAGAACCTTTCCGACTGAGCACTGCAGTCCTTCTCTGCTTCTCCTGACTGACTAGCAGTGATGGAGGAAGTAGACAACACTGCAGAGTAAAAAATGTAGTGAAGTAGAAAGAACAGATATTTGTACCCAAAAAGAAATGTTCTTAAATAAAGTGCACATACATGAATGACACATGAACAGCAGTAGATCACAAACTAACCCCGCAAGGTTCTGTGTCATCAAACGTGTAAAACCACATCGTTTGTGAACATGAGTTTCTCTGTACCACTTCGCTGATGCTCTAATTTTCTGTTGAATGCTCTTTTTTTTTTCTTAGCGTGACTTGTTATAAGTTGTCTTTACTCTCGCTCTTCATTCCTCCCCCGCCCTCCAGACTTAGGAAGCTTCTCCACAGAGGAGCAGAGAAAGACAGCGACTCAGGGCCGAGCAGCCATCATCAGCCCGCCACCCCTCGCTTCTTTCCCCCGACCCCTCGTCACATGGTTCAAAGACGGACAGAAGATTATCCCCAACAACCGAATGTAGGTGTCTCTCTCATCCTCTGTTCCGCTCTCTCCCTTTCTCTCCCTTTCACTCTCATCCAGGGACTCACTGGAACAAGCTGTTTGCAAAGAATACGGACTGAGATAAAAATTTAAATTTTTCACTCCTTATCCCTCTGTGGTAAATTAATTAACTCGTTCTAGAAGCTAAAATGTTCTTTTTTAATCCCTGCACACCGATTGTTATGAAGCTTAGATAACTGACCCTTTTCATTAGGCATCGCTACCACAGACATAACAACGTTATGAAGACAAGATAAAATGGATTTTTCAATTAATCACATCTACAGGGCTATTAAGTAATTTTAGGTATACCCGAAATCTTCCTTTATGTAAATTCCCTGGATGTGTGGTGCAAGCTGTATTTCACAGCCTTTTTTTAATGCCGTTGTCTGGCTCCTTTTTAAATGCCTGACATTTGCATATTACTCCTTCGCTGCTACAGCTATCCTGTCAGTGTTTTTATTTTGAAAAATGTTCAATCTGTGTATTAATGATGTAATTACTCAGACAAAGCAGGGAACGGTGGGTTTGTTGTGAAAGGTTTTTGAGAATCATTCGCTGCAGATTATCCTGAATGATTTTAGAATGTGTGGCTGTTCGAGTCTACTCATCAGTGAAAGTAGGTGTTGAGGCGCAGACCTGTTAGACCTGATGCAGCCTAATAAAAGCAGAGGTTTTATTAGGCTGCACTCGCACTCTTAGATAACTAACTCCCCATTTAGAACACTAACTGCTCCCCTGTGTGTTATCGGGTGAAATTGTCAGTGGCCTTGCTGTACGCGTAAACGGCCAGACAGCAACTTCACCGCTCCTTTAACGACAGTCGCCCAACCTCGCGAGCGCGTCTGCGAAAAAGCTTCGTGGAGAGTTAGGTTACACAAGCGGCTTGTTTTATTTTACTTTTGTCTTTGGCTCGCATCAACTTTGACTTTGCTTTTTGGATTCGAACTAATAGAGAAAAGGACTCTCCCCGTTAAGTTAATGGGGCGTCATCGAGTGTGGCTTAATGACAGCGGACTGCAATTATTTTGCTGTTAAAGACACAGTCGGCGTTGAAAGTGTTTACTGTCAGAGCATCACCACTACACTGCGTTAGCCTCTTTACACTGTACTCCCCGCTGCTATCCATGAAAACAGAAAACTGGGAGGCCCTTTGTTCTTCTTGCTTTGTACTTTTACAGATTGTTTCATGACAACAGACCATTAACATATTTTAATAAGTGCAGATATCGGAGCTCTGTGTGACCAAAGATGTTTTAAAAACGGGCACGTTTTTTTTAATATATCACTTTTAAGGTGGTGACTGTCCGTACCCAACTTTAAGATTGACTGTTTCCCTCGGTTTCAAAAATCTGTCACAGTAAAATAAAGACACTTGCTGCTGCGAGAGCGAGCCAGAAAACTTTTTCTGTCACATCCACGTGTCTGTTACTGTACTGGCCTTTTCCATCCACACCAAAGAGGCACAGTGAGCAGCCGTGATGCACTTTGTCTTCCACACCTTCTTCTGTAACACCCACTAGTGGTCGTTGGCCAACTTTTGAGTCCACGTGCACAGAGGCAGCTGATTCCCGGTGTGCTTGAAGATAATTATTTAGAGCACCCTGGACGTTTTTATAAATGTGTGTAGCTGTTACAAAAGGTCACACTCGAAAATCTAGCCGACACAGAGAGGAGTGAGCCACCATCATTATTTCACAGACTCAAAAACCAGGCTTATATCTTATGTTTATTTAAGTATAAAGAACAAACAGCCACGACACATCTTTTATCTTTTCCAACCTCAGTGTCGACCTCAGCTTAACCACAACGTTACTTACACAAGAAACAAAAGCACTGTGATTATCTCAGGTGGCAGAGGTCTGCTGTGGAAGCTCCCCACCCACAACCATGGATGTCAGGAGCCAAACAGATGAGTTGAGACATAATTATGGAAAAAAAGAGCAAAAAAAAAAAAAAAAACTGCAGTTCACATAAAAATTGAAACTAATAAACGTTGAGCTGGAGCTGAGGAAGCTGCAGACGCTGCAGACTAAGCACTGATGCAACAGTTGCGGCAGTAGGTTAGCAGAGCATTTAAAACAAAATATGATTTGACAGTGAGCAATCGGCTGTCACAGTTTGGCAGGTGCACTCAGCCGAGCAGTCATCCGAGAGCTTTGGCCTTCTGATCACAACACAGATGATGATGTCGCTTGATTTGGTGCCAATACATGTGGCTCCATTTCTCTTTGCCCTTCAACTTGATTATTTAAAAAAAAAAAAAAAAAAGTCATAAACATCCTGGCTAAAAATGCACAGTCTTGAATTTTATTATTACGATAAATTATTAAGTTCAGGATCTCCTTCAGCTGTTTATTGCCCTCAGAGTTAGTTTCTCCTGAATACCTGCCTGCCTCCGATGAAGCTGTGAGAAATTAGCACGTTTGCATGAAATACAATATCAGTGACATTCTGGGAGTACAGAGAGCATAGATGCTGTGTCACACAGCACCAGGCCTTACACTTAACGCAGGAAGTGTTTTATTTGGTCCATATACAAATTTTATGCGGAGACAGGGAGACATGTCGCCTCTGGTACTTAATATAAATCATTTGTCCACCTCCATTAACTCTATGGAGTGTCCTAGACAATCTCTCCCCTCGTTGAATGAATGAGGGAGAGATTCGGCAGTCAATATTTCACACGGTACACACCTCTGACAAACAGCTGGCACAGCTGCACATCAGGCCATTAAATTAGTCAGGGAGAAATTTTCACTCTCACAGTCGACGCTCGTGCTAAAACCTTTTAACGGTTGATCAGAGGTTCCGGTTTCCGATACACCAACTGTCTACCTGACGTAAGGGGTCAAACCAGCATGTTACCAAACAAACTTTTTCTTTTTATCCAACACTCGTGCTGACATTACACCTTACACAGCTCTGGGTTGACGGAGATGGACGTTTGTTCCGGACCAGCTGGACGTCCTCATTTTTATGCATGTTTAAAACAAACGTCACAGCTTGTGGAATAAAGAACATTTGTTGAATCTGTTTTTTTGTAAATAGTGGGAGGTGATAACATGATGGGAGCCGTTAAAATGAGGAAGTGAGAGGACACCTGTAATGATCCTCGTCCTACTCGTGACTGTGACTCTGTGTATTCATTCCATACTCGGTAATGTAAATCCCAAAAGGTCCCTGGCTGTTACTGTTTCCATACAGGAGGATAGTTTGTTATTATGGGTCTGATTTACGCAAATTATACTGAACAGATTCCCAAAAAAACGTATATAGGATAGGACATGGACCAAGAAGGGACAAAGGAGGACTGACGACCCTTCTATTCGTATGTCACATGATTTTTTTGGGAGATTAAAACAGGAAACAGAGTCTGAATTCCTCTGATTTTGCAAACTAACATCAACCACTGAAAGGTTTCTATCCTCACTATGATTGTGCATCTGTAATGCTGTGTTTGGTTTCAGAAAATGTGCGGTTACGCATTATTTTTGTCAGACTCTGCTCTTTCAGGCCCGATGAAACCAAACTCCCAATGTTAGACACAGATTGAATCAGACTCAAGAGCAAATCTGCTGAAACCTAATGAATAGTTCATTAATGATTACTCAATTAACCTCGATTGAACTTCAGCTAAAAAATCCATCCCGAGGTACCGAACGCGAACCATGCAGCAGTTCCAACCCTTTTCAAGTCACGTCCACAATGTCTTACTGCGTTTAAGAAGCTGGTGCAAACATTTGGAACCATTTGATATCAATATTCAGTCTTGTACAAGTGCAGAAAAGGACAAAAGTTGGCAGCGAATAAAAGACGAGTTTCCGAGGAGATCTTGGACTGCTGTCTCTTTATTGTTATGTTATGAGGGTCGGTTCACTCTTTGTTACAGTGACATTGACGGTTTGTTCAAGAAGATGTGTGAAACTTCGGTAGCGGAGAGTTTGTCTGAAATCGAAGGCTTTGGCACCAGAACCTGTATCCATGGCAACAGGATAAAAATCACAGCTGCTGCTGCTGCTGCCACTTGCCGGGTCGTGGTTATTGTAATATCACTTGTGACGAAGACATAATTCAAACAATGTTGTTTGACAGAAGACATCGACGCGGTAACATTTCACTTTAATAACTTCAGGGGTCACGTTTCTGCTCTTCAGAATAATTTATGGTGCAGCTGTGTGATGCTAAGTAGAAGTGGATCTCAGTGTTTCATTTCACTTTTCAGGTATTAATGTGATCTGGATGAAAACTTTTATCTCTGCATTTTCAGATGAAATACTCTGATTTGCCCCCCCCCCCCACATGCACACACTGTGATGAAGATTCATGCGTAGCTCTTCCTTTGAACCCTGATGGAAAAGACTAATTTGCACCTTTCTTCACGGCTCGTCTCTTGTCTCAACAAGACACGTCTTCCTCTCCCGTTGCCCCCTCACCTCTCTCTTCTATCCCTCACTCCCACTTTCCTGCCTCCAAATTATTCTTTATATTCCTGTGTCCTCTCACTCCGTGTCTCTTTTACAGTTCATTATCATGCTACAGGCTACACTGTGATACAGAACCCATAAACTTCTGCTCCTGAATAAACTGTTTAACTGCTGTGTGGATGCAGACACACACACACACAGACACACACAAACACACAATCTGTCTCTCCAGACCAATCTCGGTTGCGTCTACCTGGCTCAAACGTCTCTGTGTGCGTTCAAGCGCGACAAAGTGAGTGCACTGAATATTTGCACTGCTCTGCGTGTATAACGGTATATATATGTGTGTGTGTGTGTGTGTGTGTGTGTGTGTGTGTACATCCGTGTTTGTGTGCAAGGTTACGCTGGCTGATCCTGCGGTCCGGTGAGACAGGGCCAGATGGTGCCTGGCGGTTGGCTGTCTTCGTGGTGACCGAGCTGATGATTTCGTTTATGAAGTTTATTGATCCGATATGCATCGCTCCCAGAGCCCCCGGCTCCATCTCGCTG